GAGTTTAAATAAAAAAGTAATTCTTAAAATTTCTATTTATAAATTCTTTCTTATTTATTATTATATATATATATATATATTATTTATTTTATAATATAATTATTAACTATAATTTAATTTATTTAAAATAAATAAATTAATTAAAATTCTAAAAAAAAATATGATGAATTCCCGTAGGTTTACTCAAATCCAACAAAATCCCTTTACCAAAAAAAAAATCCAACAAAATTCAATAGAAATAGAGATAAATTTCAAAAATATAAACCCATCTCTTTAAAATTTGAATTCAAACTTGAAATTGTCTCACCTTTTAGAGACAAAATAACACCTATCCCATTACCATCCCTACACATTACATTTACACTAGTTATACATTATTCAAGAGTATCGTTTACATTTCTTTACTTTGTTTTCCTCGGCTACATTCATAATTCTTGAATTTTCCAAATTAGAATTCATGTTGTATTGATGTCTTTTCTATGCATCTGGAATGATTCATTAACCAGTTGAGAAAATACACTTCAACTTGCAACATAGGATGTCTGAAGCCAAACCAGTATGTGCATTATTAATGTAATGAAATAATACTCGAGTTGTTAAATTTATTAAAAGATGTGACGACATATTATCATACAGAGTAAAATTCTAAAAAGAAAATATTGTTAGTGTAAAACTTGTTTAAATTATCGGTACATCAAAATTAAACTAATGATTATGAAAAAATTAATCTTGACATATTATCAATATACAAAAGTTTTACATCTACATCAAATGATGTATAATTATACTGCTTAATGAATTTAGCATTTGCAAAATTGTCAAAAACTCTTAATGAGGTGTTGATACATGAGTGATAATAATATAAAGCAGTTTTTGGCCAACCTTTCATCAAAAACTCATAATGTAACACCTATACTTTGATAAGCACAAGTCTTTTTTTTGGGGGCTGTTTTCATGGTTTGTAATCTATTGATTTAATGTAATGGATTAAATCTATAGCAAATATTCAAATCTTTTTATTCAGAAGAAATAAATACAAAAAAAAAAAAGAAATATCATGTACATCAATCATAATTACGAAAAAGCATTAACTAAACAAAAGAGACATTTATTTATTCATAAACTGGCTGAACTTATCAGAATTTGGAATCATACCACATACAGTCTACAGTGAAGCACCAAAAGTCATGTCCCTCAAATGATGCCTTCACGATCCATGAACCTTTTAAGCTTAGGCTGTAAAACATACAATTTAATTAGTACTACTATTTTGGTTTCTCAACATATCCTCCTATACGGTATATAAGAGACTAATATCTCAGTCATAGACTCATAGGTGAAGCACTAAAGTGGAGACTCTTCCCAACAGTTTTTTTTTTTTTCATACACATGAATCTCAAAATTGAACCTAAAATCGTTTGAAGGCATATAATTTAATAAATTAAGTTCCCATCGCTAACGTTCACGTATATTACACGTAACAATGAGCGGAAGAAGTTACACAAAGTAAACTAGAAAACAAATAACCTAAAACTCAATCAAATGCTTCCAATGAAATCGACGCAATTCTTATTTCGCAATCGGCAGATAATTAAAATACAGGTGGGCTAATTTAGTCAGTTAACTTACAGGGCATGAATTGTTGGCTCCTATGCCCTGATGTAGTTCCGCCGGTGAAATTAGAAGCTTTACAGGACGAAATTCAACAGACAAACTCTGTCCTCTATTGTCCGTGAAACATATCAATTCACGATGTATAAGGTGTTCAAATGCCTGCATACACAAGGTAACAAATACCACCAAATAAATTTGGGGTTGGAGAGAAATAGTAGGAAACATACCATAACTATCATTTATTATATATTACACGTCTGACAAAAGAAAATCATCAAAGCAAGTAAACACACCCTTAAGCAAGCATTTCTAGAAGTCTGGAAGGAATCATGTACACTTTTATACTCTGCAAAATATGACAAACACATAAATAAATAATATAAAAAGAGTGAAAGAAAAACGCAACAAATATTACCTTTCATTACAGAATTGAAGTTGCATAAACTTTGCTCTTTAAGTTCCAAACTCTTCATGCAAACCAATATATAAAGTTCTAATTCGGAGCAATCTGCTTGCAAGTTGCAATTATAACCAAAAAGCCATTAATTGCTCCATCTAAAGAGCAAGTATACTGAATTATGGAGAAGACTCCAAGATAAAAAATCAAGACCCATTAAATGGAAACAGGTTATAGATAAATAGAACATCAATGGGGGTTAAATCTCTAATATAGAAAGAAGAGTATATTATAAACTATAAATTATCTAAAATTACCATACTTCTTAAAAATTCCAATTTGGGATGCCTCTGGATACTTGAAAATGCAACTTCAAAGTTCTCCCGAGACAGGAACCCAGTCTGCAAATCCATATGAGAGACTGCACAAAATCTGGAAAATAATCAAACATAAGTCTGGGAGGATGATCTACTCATATTCAACAGCTAACAGAAGTGTGAAAAATACTTACAGAAACCTCAGCAAATCTTTGACAGAGGAGTCAATATTTAAATATTTATTGAGGGTTTCTTTGAACCTTCTATCTTCTATAATATTCTGCAATTTGTCAAGGGTTTCTTAACCAGCTCAACAAGTGTGAATTTTCATTAATCAAAGAAAATACAGGAGTGTGAATTTTCCACCCATAACAGCTTTTGTAGATGCAAACTAACTGTTTTCAATGAAATCAGTTTACTCGCAGAAACACAAATGCAGTGAATGGGAATGCAAAAAATTGAAAAGCTTTGCAACTATAGTTCTTTCTGCAAAGCTCGTGAACTGAAAATGTAAGAATACCAACTTATGGACAAACAAGTCAAAATGTATGCATTATTAATTTATGGGTTAGGATTCAGATCAAGTCTCTGTGATTGCACAATATGGTCAAAACATGTGAATTCTTGTGCTTTGTGAAATGAATAAATTAATGTGGGTTGCACTCGTGTTCATTTTGAAGGCCAACTAAACATAAAAAAATCACTCACAATAAAAAGGATACTCGGACGTTTTTGTTAAATTCAACAGCATAATCATGTGGGAAGCTTGAATCAATTGGTAATGTCAGCATGCGCACCAGTAAGCTGCATGACAAGAAATCAAGTAGTGCATGTTTAACATCACCATCTGCATAGTTCAGTCCAATGGAAAGCACAATCCACCTACCTCTGTGAATCTTCCATGGAAGGGGGTAAGAACAACAGCTTTCTATGTGAAAAACGAGATCGTACTCTTTTCTCCAACAGCTGATCTGCATCCTGCAAGGTGGATCATCTTGATTTGTAAAAGTTATTTTATGATCTACAATCTACAAGCACCACATGCAATGATAGATTATTTTCTCAAAATATGCGCAAGCAAAGAAAAGTGGGAAACTCTTGATCCACTATCAATTTAGAGGAATTTTTTCTCAACCAATCACATAAAGAAATTCAGACATGAAATATTTGTAACTACTTGAAAGTTTATATAAGAAAAGGGAAATAACTGTAAAGCACATACCAGACGGCAACTAATGCCAAGTACAACAGCCTGTGATGTTATTGATTGCATTGCATCTAGCAAACTATAAAGTAACCGCTGTTTTCCCTGCAAAGAATCAGGATGGAGTTAGTAGCAAATGTATGATTAAAAAAGTTAAAGTGAAAAGCATAATAGAACGCAGACTACAAACAAGATTACTTAATACTAAAAGAGTAAAGAGGTTGGGAAACACAACAATTATAACCCAGAATTTACACTACAAGGATTTGAGAAATGATCAAAGGGCAAAAGAAAAAGGATCCTTACCTTAGCAAAGAGGTCAAACTCATCCAGAACAAAAATTACTGTTTTATGTGCCAATCCACATTCCCTATAAAACAAAGATAATAAATGCTTTGGAACTTCAATTTATTTTCCTTTTTCAACCAAGATAACTTTTACTCACTTTAGCATGGCCACCATAAATTGGGAGTTGTCATCAAATGATGCCTACAGAAGATTCATATAAAGATTAAAAAATCACTGTACCATAATTGTAAATGCGTGGTATGAATTTTGTATAGGTAGTTCATCTTACCGCTTTGGAAAACAACAATTGATGCTCCATACATAACTGCCTAGCCATTTCCTGTTTGATCATCATTTGAAACAACAAATGAGACACCATACAAGAACAGGCTGTTACAGGCAGCAATCCAACCTAAATCTATTAGTTCAAACAATCTCTTCAATAAGACTAGAAAGTTTTATAATGTGCATAACAAATCCTCATTGCTCTTGCATATCCAGAAATAGTTTGAGCTGCATTGCACAGCTTGGTCCATCACCATCCAATTCCTTTGTAAATTCACAATTTCTTAAAAAGAGAAAGATTTACTCCACATCTTTTAACAGAAATTTAGAAACCACAATGTCATAGTGTCAGTGTGCAAGTATGAATGAGAGTTTCACATTGGATAGGGTTGGATAAGCAGGTTTCGAGAATGCCAACCTTGAATGCAGAGATGTCATCACTATGTAAAAGTCCGTTTAACCTGATCTGCAGTGAAAATTTAACTCAAAAGAGAGAAAAACACACTTCCACAAATTATTAACATCAATATTAGGAGACAATGAATACCACTGAAATCGAGTCCGGATACTGTTGCAGCAAATCTTGAATGACAAGCTCCAAAACCTAACAAGACAAGACATAGTGAAAAGAAAATGGAGGAAACCCCTTAATGCGAGGTTTAGGTGAGTGATGAACGAACCGCGTTCTTGCCGGAGCCACGGGGACCGAGAAGAAGAATAGAGTTATTGCACGCCTCCGTGACCGAACTCGATATCATGAATTTCAGTTTGCTGATATGAGAAACCAGTGAAGTAAGGTCATCGATTCCTGATTTGATTGAATGAAGAGGAGGAACATTAACTGTATGAGAAGAAGTTAGTTCATACCTGTAGTTGCTGTCTGGAGAATCGTTGGAGAAGATGAACTTGGGGTCACAGATCCTGCTTCGAAGCACATTCACCGCCTTCGTTATGTGATTCTCTAGCGCCATTTCGCGCCGATGATGCAACACAATTGGCGGGAACAACAACCAAGCCTATTTATTTGCAACGACCAAAGGTCCTTTCTTTATCCAACACGGCCCAATACCTGTGATGGGCTTCATTAAAGCCCGACTGATTTGCTACAAGAGTTTCACGATGATACAGTAATTAAATAAAGAGTTTAATAAAATTATATTTTCATTGTGAAGTTAAAAACTATTTTTAGGGTGGTTTTTACGATAGTTATTATAAAATTTAATAAATTTATTAAACATAAATATTTATGATGTAAGGAAATTAATTTTTTTTATAACATTAATACATGTATTATTTATTTTTTAATTCAACTTTTATGTTCTTATTCTAATATAGTTACTTCTTACGAAAGATATTTATTATTTATAAACATATAATAAAACAAATTAAAAAATCAACTTCGATGCAAAAAAAAAAAATATAAATTGATTTAATTTTTACAGATTTCATGTACAGAAAAATATTTATTTAATTATAATCATATTTTCTTATTCGGTAATGAATTCTATTATGAAATAAATATTTAAAGATTTACTTTTTTGTTTCCTCATAATGTCCTTCATATAACAAGATTTCTCGAACTATTATAAGGTATCAAAGCAGAAATTCGTTTTAACAATATTTTCCAATACAGTTAAATCTATAAATTATATTCTACAAATTTATTCATCGATTATTTTGTTTTCTTAACGACTACCCAGTGTTATGTTGAATTTTAGAAAATTAATTTTAAAAAACTAAAAATTACAATACGTGTACATTATTTTATTTTTGTGCTTAATGCAATAGTTAAGAATAGTCCTGGTTTGTGTCTGAAAGAGGTGCAAGTGAAAAATATCAGGCGGCGAAGCCACATAACATCCAAAACCAAAAGCAAAGCAAATCGTATCTAACAAAACAAGAGCCAATCAAAAAACATTGGCATGGGATTGGTAACGACCACCGTTCCTATGAATATCGTTCCTCAATTCGGGTCGCTCCGAACTTCTATTCGGGTCGAAAATACACCCGGGTTGAGTTTCCCTCTCTCACGGTCACGGAGGAGGAGGAATAGGAGCTTTCTCTGCTTCGCCGTCGATGACGACCTCAGAGAGAAGCAACAGGACTTGACTACTACCGCAACTGGGCTGGGCTCCGCCCTTGAAGAAAGGCCCGGTAAGTAACACCGAAACCCACTTCGTCAAATTCAATAATTTCCCCCTTCTATTTAATGCCTTAATCGTATTTGTCTTATATTTTGTAAGCATGCCATGAGGATAACTTCCAAATATGATTAGTATATCATTTGTGCTAATACTATATTGTTTAACTTAACCTATCCTTGGTGTTCTTTTATTAGTATTTTAATAATGGGTTAATGCATGTATATTTGAAATTATACTAAAAAAAACATTTCCCCCCAGTTAAATGATTATCAGGGGGAAATGTTTCCACAATTGTAGTAGTTTTGGTTAAGATTCTGAGATCGTTCTTGTGTTAGAAAACACAGATCTTTTTGAGAGTACAGCTGAAGAAACGCAGGGAAATTTTGAGCAAGATGGTGATCGAAGTCCTATCTATGATTTTCTTTATCCAAGTAAAGAGCTTCTTCCTGATGACAAAGAAATGAGCATATTTGATCATCTTGAAGAGCTGCGACAGAGAATATTTGTATCCGTTCTAGCAGTTGGAGCGAGCATTTTGGGATGCTTTGCATTTTCAAAAGAACTGATAATGGTTCTCGAAGCTCCTGTTAAATTACAGGGTGTAAGATTTCTTCAGCTAGCTCCTGGTGAATTTTTCTTCACAACATTGAAGGTAAGATTTCTTACATGTCTCTGAGATGGTTATTGCTTCCTTCCTTGTCAAATGAGCTGTGATATTCTATTTTATGGTACACATTTATGCAAAATTAAACCAGTGTTTTGTGCTGTTGCTCTCTTGCTTCATCTGGAATGTATAAAGCGGCCTTAATTCTTATGTCTTCCTCATAACTAGTTCTCATCTCAGATAAGGTTAATGGCACAGCATAATTGGAATGTGTTTATTCTTGTGCTAATTGTTTTATCTCTGATAGCTTTAATTAAAAAATAAAAATTCAAATAAGACGAAACTCTTGTGATTAAATACAGTATGTTCATTTCTGCTTACATTACATCAAATGATAAGATCTCATGGGCACATGGTGCATAGTATTAGGGAGTGATTGGCCAAAATCTATATTTTGTGTGTGCCATCTTAATAATCTTTCTGTCATCAATTGTTTGTGTTTTTTTTGGGTTGGGAGGGGGGTTAGTGATAGTTGTTAAAGAATCTTTTTGAATTTGGACTTAGGATGTGACTCAATCTCACAAAACTAACTTGGAAGGTGAAGACTGACCAAACCTTAAAATGATTAAGTTGATCATATCTTTAGTCAATATGAGATCTCAACAAAGAAAATATGCTACTACCTGATGTACAGCCAATGGTGATGTTGTGTTGTGCATCTAACCGTTTTTCAAATCCATCTATGTTGAGTTAAAACTCTAAATAAAGATAAAATACAAAAAGCTACCTTGATAGAATTTATATTTTGTCATTGTGAAGTGCAGGTGTCTGGATACTGTGGCCTTCTCTTGGGAAGTCCTATCATCCTCTACGAAATCATAGCTTTTGTACTTCCAGGACTTACAAAAGCTGAAAGAAGGTTTCTAGGGCCAATTGTTTTAGGCTCATCAGTTCTTTTCTACGCCGGAATAACCTTCTCCTACTTAGTTCTGACACCTGCAGCATTAAACTTCTTTGTTAACTACGCTGAAGGTGCTGTTGAATCATTGTGGTCCATTGATCAATACTTTGAATTTGTTCTGGTGCTTATGTTCAGTACAGGCTTATCTTTCCAGGTAATTCTTTTCTCCCGGCTTTATTCTTCCTTTCTTTGTCAATATGTGGTAAACAGTGTATTCTAGCTGACACCAATTCATGCCTCGAAGCCATTGACCTAATCTCGCTTCTTCTGCTCCCAAAAGATTTAGATATTAAATACATATAGAGCAGCAAATAATTACATTTTTAAACATACCTGCTTGGGGTCTATTTGGAGTTATGAACAATGTGGACGCTCCAACAACATCCTTCTGTTAGGAATTCAAAAGAAAGCCATGCTATTGCTATTAAGATGAAGAATTCTCATAAGATAGTTTTTGTTTAGAGTCCATTTGTAATCAATCATTCCTTTGCATAAGTAGTTCAGAACTGTTGCTTGATGAAACAAAAATAAGAAGTAATCTCTATGAGCATGTTTAGATACAATATAGAAGCATTTTTGAGAATTTTTCTATTAAAAAAATTTCTTTATTTTTGGTAGAAAAGTTCTTTTAAATTTCTATCCAAATAGTCTCATATATTTGTATTGTACCATCTCTTACCTGTGCAATCCTTTTTTCCCTCCAAACTTTAGTAGTCATGGAATCTAAAGGAAGTCAAATTGCAGGTACCTGTCATACAATTTCTATTGGGACAACTTGGACTTGTGTCCGGAGACCAGATGCTGTCAATTTGGAGGTACGTTGTGGTTGGTGCAGTAGTGGCAGCTGCTATAGTTACGCCATCCACTGATCCTCTCACTCAAGTTCTTCTAGCGGCACCCTTATTGGGTCTTTACCTAGGTGGCGCATGGATGGTCAAGCTTACTGGACGGTGACTTTAGCCCCATCATAGTTTTGTGCCAGAATTTTCAGTCTGAACACGTGTTAATGTACATTCACATAGCAATCTAGTGTAAATTTTTACTCGTATCAGAGCATTACTCTTCCTATATTCTGATTGAGTTAAACATTTAATTCTGTAACCAGTCATTCCCAAAGTCCGTCGAGTCTTGGCATTTGGAGGTTTTCGTTTAAAATTCATCCCAACATTCAGTTCATAACACGTTTTAAAATTAAAATCCTGTGTGCAAATAAAATAAAAATGTGACGTGTATGGTTAGAGCAATAAAACTTGAGTACTTATCCAAAGAGAGTGCGTAAAAGAAGTGAAAATTAGAGGCGAAACATATACGTTTTTACGTTAAATGTGAAAAATATCTGATTTTGAAACCAATGTGACGTAAAATCCAAACACAAGACATACCCTGAATTATTTGGAAACGGCAATTATAAATCAAATCAAGTTGAACAGTAACACAGGTTCTACAACGTCAAATTCATTGCAGATATATTCCACCAACCTCCGCCTAAAGTAATGACAATAATATTAAAGTACATATTTTAGAGTCTACTTATTGTATTAGATAAATTTTTCTATACAAACTGGTTGAAAAAAAAAAGTATAATAATTTTTTCTTGAGTTAAAATCAACTTTTAAAGAAGTTAAATGATACAACTTCTATAAGTTAATTGTATAAATTTATTTTAACTTGTCAGATAAGCTCAATCCATTTTATCATATATTTTTTTCGATTTTTTTTCTCTTCTTATTTTCTTCTAAGTGTATATAGACAAACTTATCCAATCCAGACCAAGATAATATTCAGCAGAAATCTCATTGATATATATATATATATATA